TCATCAACTACGCCGCATGTACAGTACACTCAGCTTAGCCTCCTCAGTCAAACCTTATTCCTCGCCACCCACCCATACATGTTTACGTCGCTCACAACCCGTAACGTCTTGCATGTCTTTCACGCCAACACTTGTTCGTGGCTTTAAACATTGATTTAAATATTGTGCAAAACTTATATCCTACCTCGTTTTAATAAATATACTGTAGACTTAATGTCACTCTATTTGCACCATCTTACTCCATTTATTCATCTTTTTCCTTACATCTTTTCTTGTAATTCATAATCAAGAAAAATTTGTGTCCTTCGGTAAGGTAAACCACAGATTGTGACATTTATTTAAAACAACGAAATACAAGTACAGGAAAAGTTTTTGATAAGTATTTACTGTAGTTCAATTGGAGAAAAATTTAGATACTTCGTCTGCTAGTTGTCTTAGTATTGGAACTCTACCAATCTTTTCTTTCCATAACCTTGTACTTTTGACAGCTCTTAAAACTGTACTTAATGTGTTAGCTTTAAATGAATCTTGGTTAAGCTTCTCGCGTCATCACACTCACCTTTCATAAACAAACACACACACACACACACACACACACACACAAATCATTTCTAAGATAACGTGATATAAATTTAGAGAAACCAAACTATTACAAACAAAAAGTGATAAATGAGTGTCGTGGTATCAAGAATTCACTCCTATCAGAATTGCGTAACTGAGTGGCCAGCCTCGACGATGAAGACTCGCTCATCTAACCGTAACCTTCACGTCATCACAAAGGGGAGATAAGATAACGTAGTTTACTCAGTCGACTTGTAACTTGAAACACTACATTCACTATATCAACGACCGCAAGAGTGTGTGAGTGATATAAACGGATATAGATCGTTTAGGTTAGGTATATTGTAGGTTCTAACCACCGTGGCCCAAACAGATTTGATACAAACAGCGTATCATATGGCACACCTTTTGTTCATTTCTATAAAAGGTCTTGAAATTAGAAGTGTTTTATCAGGAAAATATTTCAATGTTCTCAATCCTAAGCATAGCTACAAATGTTTCTCATTCCACTTTGGCGTCATTAGCTTGAAAACCATTCTCAGACAATCAACTAAACTAACAATTAAGTCTGATGACTGTGTCGGCTAGAACGGTGCATTAATATTCAACGGTATGATACTTTTGCTGCTGGAAATCCTGCAAGTCAGTTGTTCGGTTACATGTTTTGTTCTGAAAGGTGTAAAGACAGCACCGGGTTTAGTCTGCACCTCACTGTTATGAATTAAGGGGTCAGGCGAAGAGCTATGATGAGAAATATCCTGCAAGATAGAGTGATCAGGCTTTCCATTTATTCGTGAATACCAAGAGAAAACAAGCAGTTTTTCAGCAGTATTAAAGGGATTCTTTTCCCGTTCACTCCCTGTTGAAGAAGCTGACTGGATGATGCTGATGGGCTGTGCACGGGCCGTAAACTCAGTATTGTTACTCATCCCTCCGTCACATTCACGTTAGCGTACGGATTTATCCTTCCCCTGAACCTCTTTCCCCCCCGTCACTAGCTTTTATTCATCCATTCAGCGTACGGAACAATAGGAATTTATGTTAGTAATATGATGTGATGGCAACTACTGAGAGGTGCTTGATACCCCTACAAGTTGAAGCACCTGAAACAAATTGGTTACTTCCTTATTATTCGTACTTCTGCACAACGGAACTTTGAAAAGAGACACGGCAATCGAGTTCACACAGCGCTTCCTTCCTGTCTTAAGGATCATTGGCTAGTACCAAACACCCACAGTCCATCCAGCTGTGAATATGTACTAAATTTAGTAAGGGAAGTGAAGGCGGTCAAATGCCCTGCTAGCCGAATTGTATCTGAATGCAATGTATAGTTGTTTACAGTGTGTTTGTAGCTGCACTAACCGTGTCGCGTCCTCAGACTTTTGACACCCATTTTCTCTTTATCATTCCCCCAAATTATTAAGTTGTGTAGATTGATATAGATTTTCATAACAGTTCGCAATTACAGTTATGCTTAGGAGTAATGACTTTTCATGGAAAATTTTGCTGATTTTCCCTGTGAGTAGATATTTTCTTCTACCATCCCAATTTTTATTTATGTACAATATATTTTTACACATACTAATATGTTCTGGCAAGAATTAGTCACAGTTTGAAGATTCCATCGATCTCCTCGGGTGAAGGATGAGCCAACTATGTAGTAGGTATACCCCTCTGGTTCACCATACTGAGTGCTGTCAAAAAATAACTGGATGGCCTGAAGTCTCCAGTAAATTAAATGGTTCTGGAGCCTTGAGCATTCATTAACTCGGGAGTATTAGTTTCCCCAGGCTCTCTGAACATATTAGGACAAAGCGATATTCGTAGTTCAGGGTCCTGTACTTTGCCTCCTGGTTGTTTTCTCTTGAGCTCGTCGCCCTCTCCTCAACAGTCATTTACCATCCTTCCAGGGCAGCAGCTGGATTCCATGTGAATGTTTGTTGTTGGATCTATAGAGCAGCAGTTCCAGGTGTGTTGGGTGACCAAGGATGGTTATGTTTCAATTAATGCCACTAACTTCTTAATGGCTTGCATGCTAACCCCCAGAGTGCACACAGAGAAGGGTGTGGCTGCCATGTTAGTCTACCCACTCTTAGTATTACAGTATGTGAGGTCTACAGTGTCTCAGGAAGTCAGACCTTGAGTATGTATAAATGCCTCAGCACATGATGCACATATTGAAAGGTATTCTGCAAGTTGTAGACAATTAGGAACAATAAAGAAAATTGTAGTCTTTATAAATTATATGCAGGTGGTAATGAATTCTGTCTCAGTGTCAAGATGACTGGTTCCTTTATGTTTCAGGATAATGAGGTGCTCTTAACTTAAAAAAAAGACTGAAAACTATCTTCTCTAGTTAATCTCTCTTGTCATCTGTTATCATGATACGTATATTATTTTCAGTCCCAAATCCTGTTGCGCCAATCTGTGTATAACAAAAACAGCTTGGGTTACTTCAAAGGGCAGCGTTCCAGCTTACCATGGCGTGATAGTTCTTGCCTCTTATTGGTCGATGGCGTGGGCTTCTATTCTGCGATTGGTTAACTTCCCTGTCGTTCCTAGACTATGATTGGTGGAGGAGGAGGTTGTACTGCGTGTTGGTCGTGGGCACATTGGTACAGCCACGCTATGGGAAGAGACGCTTCCTATTTTTGTTCAAGGTTGTCTGGTGTTGTTTGACATTTCTCATAGTAAAGATTGACGACATTTATGTGGTATTTCATTATTATACAAATATACTTCAAGTTGCTTAAAAGTTTGGTGAATAATCACTTATTTTCACCCACTTCAAATTTATCACTGCACTGAACTGATTTTGCCGACAGATTAACGTCAACAGTTAAATTATTATCTAACCTTGGTAAAGCTTACGTCTACAGTATATAATTAAAAACTTATAACATTAACAACATATTAACGTTATTTATTACCAGTAGCATCTATAACATATAATTCGGTAATATCTATAACAGCCAAAATTAACAAAATCTAACACCAATCTAAACACCTTTGACATTCAGGAACAAGAAACATACATTTATGACATGTATATTAGTTATTAGTGTCTTTGCATCTATTAATCTAACTTCAAGACATCTTTTACCAGAATTATGCAATGAATAAAAATATATATTAATATACACCACCAACCTTCTCTTAATACCCGAGTTACAATGACATTCAAAGTTTGTATCGAAAGAAATTGTTATGCAAGTCTGTTCATTCATGAGTAAAAAAAAGTCTGAATGCATCTCAAGGGAGACCGACATTATACGTAACGGTATAACTGGTTCCTGGTTCACTACACTACGCAGTTCACCTTCCTTAAATGGCAAACCCTATCTGGTCTTTTTTTGTGTTTATATATTGTAAGCGGATTGTGTGTTCATAATTCTTAAGAGATGTGATGCGTGCGTTAAACATGTGTACTGTGCATAATATAGTGGAAAAAATACTGAAGTCCATCAGTATGAATGTTTGATAATATATGCGATTTAATGAGTGTACCTGTATGACGGAAGAAGAGCTCTCTTATAGTTTATATCAATAAAGAAGGAAAATAGACAGGGAAAGTGTCAAGATTGTTAACTAATAATGACGTGCGGGTCAGGACTTAAGAGACCCAGTTTACTGTGCAGCTCTTCAAGGTCACTCCGGGTATTGCCATAAGATGCTCATTCGGTTCTCTCCCATAATTCTGTGGTTGGCGGTGTTTATTATTGATCCCATGGTGTGGTAGGAGGTGGCCCAGGATGTGACGCGGCATATTTTAGATTATGTTTGGGGGGAGAGGTGTGGCAAAATATTAACCGGATAACAAACAACGTTGTTCATGGAAAGACTAATTTTCAGTAATGAAAAAGAATCGTTAGTTGTCATTCATGCAGTGATAACAAAAATCGCCTTACTGATACTGCAAGTAGACAATATAAAATCGAAGCAAAAATTCTAGGAAAGTAAATGATAACATCCACGACACAAAACCTGACGCGACGGGGGTGTGTAACGCGGGAAAGACGCTGATTGGTTGACGGAGAAGGGAGTTAACGCTGATTGGTTTCCTTTCGGATGGCCTGATTTTTGTTCTTTCCCGATTAAAACAGTTTTAAACATTTCCAGGCATCATAAGATGAACAAGTATGTCTGCACTAATCGAAAAAGTGCTATAACTTGCACAATATAGTGATATAGTGCGCCTGGAATAATAAAGTTATAATGTTAAGGTGTTTCAACAATTAAAGTTTTTTAAGCGCTCAACGAGGTTAGTAATTACATTATTGCATCAAGAATTAATTATTACGAGATATAACTATAAAAAGTATGCCTTACATGACCTGCATACTGCGTAGTACTACAAGTTCGTTTTTGCTGTTGTATAGATATGCCCAAGACCGGTGCAACATTCTTATAAAGAGAGATTAATACATATAATACGAGATTAAATGTTACTGTATTAGTTTAGTCCAAATGAAGAGTCGCTAATTATCCATTTGGGCCACTATTATTAGGAGTCAAGTTGAGGATAATTATTCCCAGTAACAACACGGTCTGAATTGACAGACACTCTTAAGAATGAAATAAACTTAGGTAAGACTAGAAGTTACTGGCAGTGCTTAATGGTTAGGTTAGGTTATATGAAGAACATTTCCGTTAAGAACCCGAGTAGACGATGTGCCCCTAATGTTCGTTAATATGACGGAAAAATATTTTTTTTACCTTTTTACCTAATGGCTGCCCACTAGAGTTGGCCACGCCGAGGGAATGTCAGTGGCTTGTGTAGGATCCCTTCATTGTTCTTGATGATCTTGTCTCGGGTTATTTTGAAGCCCGTACTGTTCTTGACTCCACCACACCTTGAGCTGGTAGACCATTCCTTATGTTCGTTCTGCAGGATAACTAGCTTGAATTGGTCATGGTTATTATGTAGTTAATTTATGACAGTTAACTTTGTATGTGATTAAAAAGAATAAAGAACATGTGTGTTGCATAATTTTGTATCGATATTGTATGTGTAATTTTCAAAGGGAAGAAGGGCCTCCATTGTTAGTTGAGATATCACTTATTTTTATATTATATTTATGTTGTGTCTAGCTGTGATATGTAAATGGTTATTGACTACAGTACATTTTTACAGTCGCAGCAGTCAAGCGTGATCTGTGTGTTGGGTGAGATGTGGGGTCTATTAGCTCCCCTTACGTGGCCTCCAAGCTGAACAAAGCTACACATAATTCCAAGGACATTAACGATGAGATCAACACTGGATTATGCAGTCATCATGTCCAACGCAGTAGAAGAAAACAGGAAAATCATCCCTTTGCGTAAGTTACCGTTAATGCAGTACAAAATAGTAATTAATTCCCCGCGAAAGTTTGGTGTGTGTGTATAGATCACATCACGAAACAATGCAGTAGACGTATAATATACAATGTTTCTCACGATGTTGAGCATGCAGCAGCCACAGGGCCAACACCAGCATAAAGGCTTTGTCTACTCCATCTATACTTACTGCACCACAATAGGTATACACATCCCTTGAATGGCTTAAAATTAGAATATATTGTCTTTCTAAGTCAAAAGTATTACGTATCACCCTGTTGAGTGGCCTGTTGTGTGATGAAAATGAATGAACCTTCTTCTCTGGCGAACACTGGCAGGCCCTTCAAGGACCTTGGATACTAGGGACCAACACGTGAAGGTAGACAGGCAGTGGTACGTGTACAATATATATTTTTTCCTTGACCTCCACACACACACACCCGTTAGGCTACAGTTGATTATATTAAAAACAACAACAAATGATATACAAGAGGGTCAACGCATGCTGTCATTACGTTCTCACGCTGTGCTTTCTTCTTGTATCATCACATTAATATAGGTCGTAGGAATGTCCAACATTTGTAGTTTTAGGGATTCTGGGGTCACTGTACTATATTATATGTACAAAGTATTTGTTACTTCTCTGACTTAACATCTTTACATAAGTATTAAGACTCAACAAACATTACACGTAAATTAAAACTCCCGATTCTATAGACATGTAGTGTTGTCCTCAGAGACCCTTAGGCATGTGTTCACCAAGAGCTCCTTAAGTTACACAGGGGACCATCATGGGCCTCTCTAATACACAAGAGAGAGCGGGGCAGTAAGGTTAACCATAGTTTGTGCAACATCACAATGTCTACTGGCGGAAATGTGGAAGGTAGTGTGCTGGTACTGCTGGCAGGTTGTGTGTGTGTGTGTGTGACTATATATGCGAGTACCTGTTTACGTATAAATATGGTGAACATGAATATTCTAACTTATTGGCAATGATTGAATTAAAATATCCCTACGGTTTCTGGTACACACACACACTCTGCTGGGCAAAGTTCCCCACCATTAGGCTTTCACAGTCATTTTACTTGAAGCTTCCTTACTCATTCATGCGCCTCTTACTTTCTGATATGATCTTAACCATCTAGCATCTGTGGTTATTTCTGGGTCTTTTATTATCTCTTACGACAGGAGTTCTGACCTGGGATCAAGGAGGTAGAGTACGTGAAGCCTCGTAACGGTCAACTACTGGAGTGTGTTCTCATCTCGTTAAGGACTAATCAAAGCCAACAAACAGAACGCGGCGACAGTAACCTTGGCTGACACGCTGGCATCGAAGACTCCTCTGTGGTAAGTGAACACCTGTATTATTCTCCTGGGTACAATTATTTGGTAAAAAATATTTTAATAATTCATTTCCGACAGGTTTTACTCCGGAATTTATTTTTTTTATTTTCAACTTTTATTTATAGTGGATGCACATAAAAATACGGCATCAGCTGGGCGAACGCTGAAACCATAAATATAATAAAATAGGAAGGAATAAACTTAAAAGCTGGTTTACAACCATCATTCCAATACAAATGAAAACGGGCTAGCCGAGTCTGGAAGGCCACGTGACGTCAGCACAGCCTGCGCATGAGTAAACCGAGTTGGGAGACAATAATCATTTATGTTCCGACGGATTAGTGGCATTTTTACAAATACTCAAGATTATATATATCTGTATCTTAAACTACCTAATGGTTATCCAGTCATCTCTAGGCTATAAACGCTTTTTCTGACCTAATCTCTCTCGTGTAAACTGATCCATGCCTCCACAATACACCGACACTGCCCCCAGAAAGGTGACGAGGAGAGTAACAGTGATCTGGGGCTTCCTCCTCACACGTCAGTGTCGTAATGATGACACCCACACCAGATACGCATGGAAGTTCGTATTTTTAATTATTACTAACGTGTACATATAGTTTTTACAATATTGCAAACGACAGGAATGAAAAGATAAGGAGTTTAATTAGATGAGCCACAGGACAAAGCCTTCAGTGCACTAGAAAGTAATGTGGTTGGCGCTACTCTCGACTGGCTTCACTTTCCACACAAGAAAAGCCAGCACAGTATATATTAAATGTTAACTCACTGTTATTGACTCATCATAAACATTAACTCTTAAAATAAATTAGTAACAAAGATGATCAAGAATGGGTCATAAACATAAACCTTCACTGTTGTATTTTAGGAAATATTTGTTTTTTCCTTATTGCTGAGTACTTCCACATAAATATCTCCAACTCAACATTTAGAAGATAATGCTGATACTAGGCTGTGAGTATACTGAGGGTGCAGTTGGCGAAGGTGAAACTATGTACTCTTGCAGCCTCCTAACCCAGC